AAAAGAAGAAAAACAAGTCAGCCTCTTTCGGCAACATATGTTACCAATAAATCCAAGCGAACTCAATCTTCTAGAAGTGGAAAAAGTTTAACGCAAATTAGAAGGCAAAGACGTTTGCTAAAAGAAATGGAGAGAGACCTCGATAGAACTCAGTTATCAACCGCTTCAAAAAGAAATCGCGAAAAATCCAAAGAAGAAGTCAGTGAAGACGAAGACTTGAATAAAGGTGCAGACAAAACTTCTGCCCAAGGAAAAGCGGAGGTGAATGAATACAACCCGTCAGGGGAAGAGCTGCAGAGCTATGAACGTATTCACATTAAAAAGGTGAAAAAGAAAAAGAAGGAAAGAGACAACGAATCAAAGAGGTCTCAAAGAAGTAAAAAAGGCTCACGAAAAAGTTCTAGAGAAAGCAGCAAAAAATTTAAGAAAAAGTCGAAATCATCTAGAAGTTTCAGAAGTAAGGAAAGATCGCGGCAAATGGTAGATAGTTCTCAGAAAAAATACAAAAGTCTGGAAATCTCAAAGAGTGAGAATTCTGGTAGAACAAAAAGAAGAAGTAAAAGCCTAAGAAACTTAGAAAGATATAGTGGAAAGACAAAAAGCTTAAGAAATGGACGAGAAAAATCGAGAAGAACACCAACTGCGAAAGGTTTGAGTAGCGAGAGAGATTCTAGCCGAGAAGAATTTGTACAAAAGAAATTGAAATCTCGAGTTGTAACAAGCAAAGGTCGTAGAAGCAAAGAAAAGACTTTGAAATCGACAAGTTCAAGAAATGAAGAAGAATTTGAAAGGAGAAAGAGAAGTTCTGAAGAGGAGAAAGAGTGGCAAAGGCGGTTGTCATGGCAAGCTTCCAAAAGCGACTATTCTGGAGAAAAAACAGAGAACTTGAATAGCAAAGAGTCATGTGGAGGGAAAAAGTCTAGTGTGGAGACGGATGGTTCATTAGAAAAAATTGAAGAACGAATAAGAATGGTAGAACATTCAAAAAGGTCGAGAGAGGTGGATAAAGAAGAAGACCCTCTAAAGGTTGGAAAATATTCTGGCGAAGATGTACATCCAAAAGAAAACATAGATATTGGGGAAGAAAGGCATTCCCAGGAAGTAGCAGAACCTCTCCAAGAGGAAATAGTTTGGGAAAAAGAGGAAGTGGCCCAAGCTCATAGCATGTCACCAAGCAGAGGATCCGCAGAAAAACAAAGAGCGGACCACTTGGTTTTTGAGCATGTAGGAAAATGGAAAAGCCTCGAAAGCGAAGGGAACATTCGTGAAAATTTAGAGAAAGAAAAAAAGCAAGGATCGCAAACTGAAGAGTTCAATCCATATTTTGCAAAAGCTCCAATTGAGGAAGAGTGTCAAAAACAGGACAAGTTTAGAGATAAGAATGAAACTTTACTTTCAAAAGAGAAGAGTACATCTAAAAGCAAGGAAGGAACATTAGAAAGTGTGAGGCCTCAAAGTGGAGAGATCGCTGATAAATCAAAAAGTGGAAGCTCCTCGTCAAGAAAAAAGAGGCGATCGAAGAGCAGCGAATCTCTATCAAAGAAGAGGGAAAC